TGGATTAGTTACAGCTATTATTAGGGAATGTAAATTTCTTAGTATAGTTTAATCTCAATAAAAAGTGGCAGGACAGCCGAATTATAGAAAAAAAAAATATAAATATAAATATTGTTTATTAATTATAATTTATAATAAAAATATAATAGATTATACTATATAATTATATGTAATATATTTAAATTTATATTTCTTCATTAAAATTAATATTATTTTCAGCTAAAATATTTTTAATTTCTTGAAGAATTGTTAACAAATTATTATGAGATAAATTTGATAAATTTTTAAATTTTAATCGATCTAAATCATTTAAATATGGAATTAAAGAATTAATTATTGCTAAAATTTCTTTTTTTGTTAATGCATTTTCAGATTTTTGAAAATTTGCTTCTTCAGTTATAATAGGAATTGGATGCCAAGTTTTAGTTAAATTTTTTTCAATTAATATTTTTTGAATAAATTCAATTCTTTTTAATTGTGCAAGTTCACTAAATTTTTTTATTTCTTCACTTAAAGTCCATTCACCATTAAAACTTTGAAAATCATTATTATTAGGATTAACAAAATTTATTTTTCTTATTTGTACTCTGAATCTACAAGATTCAGTTGCAAAATCTGGACGTATACGTTTTTTATGAAAATCATTTTCATGATAATCTATTAAATTAAAAAAATTATTACATAATTTTATAAATTTCATACAATTACATGCTGCAATTTCCCAATGATGTGAAGGAATAGGAGGAATTAATGATTTAAGAGCCTTATTAATTTCTTCAAGTACTGCATCAAGACCTTGATATTGATCTAAAAATTCTGAGCGAGAAATTTCTATTTTTTCTTGAATTAAATTATAAATTTCAGGTTTTAATTTTAATATTTGTTCTTTATCAGTTGCTTCAATTAAATGATAAATTGGATGTCATCGAGCTGACCAAATAGATAAAAATATTCTTTTAGCTGCAATTCTTAATAATGATCTATTTGTACGAACTCCAGTACGAAAATTAATAATTGCTTGTAAATAATAAAATACTTGTTTATATTTTAATTTAAATAAAGAACTAGTTTAATTTTGAGCCCATGTTAAATATCCTTCAACAGAAGGATTATTTTCTTCAACAATATATGGCCATACTAATTCTAAACTCATTGCATGTCTATAAATATTACATATCAAATCCCATGATTTATGATAATCAGAACATTTTTTAAAATATTGAAGTTGTTTTTCAAATTGATATCCTTGATATTGAGCAAAATTTTTAATATCAATATCTCAATTTAATTCAACAAATGCTTTTAACATATTCATTTCTTCATGAAGTGGTCCAGGTAATAAAATAAGCCATGGATAATCTTTTTTTATTTTTTGAATTCGTTGATATGGTATTCCATCACATACAACTACAATCCATTTACGTTTATTTTCTTTAATTTCAGATATTTCTTCAATATGATCAAGAATCTTTTTAAGATTTGCAATTGAATTTGGATTAATATTTTTTGGATCAGGAATAAAGATTTGTGGTGAATTAATTTTATTTTCTAAAACTAATTGTTTTTCTTGTTCATTTGAAGTATATAAATTAAATACTAAAGATTTTTCTGTAATATTTGCAATTTTTAATGGTTCATTTAATTGTTTTAATTCATTAATTGTTGGTAATTTTGTATTGCAATTAGGGCATAATTGTTTTTTGTTATTAATATTAGAAGTTTGACAAACTGAACATTTTTTAATAAATCCAACTTGCTCATTATTATTTAATAATTTATCAATTAAACTATTTGATTGATTTTTTTCATTCATAAGTTCATCTATAATTATTTGTAAATATTTATAAAGTTCTTGATTAATTTCATTTTTCATTTCTGAACTTAAATAAAATAAATTTTCATATTGTTCTTGAGTAAGTTCAGAATATAACCAAGAATTTTGATTAAATTGTATATTATTATTTTGATCATATTGAAATGTAGCAAAACTTGTAACAGTATGAAATATAACTGTATTTTATCCACGATCTAAATAATTTTTTTGTCCTTTTTGTTCATTATCAAAAGCTAAAAATACCAGACCTTCAGAAAATAATGTTGGTTTACTAGCCAAAGTTTCTATCCATTTAATAAATTTTATATAACTTCCAGAACTAATAATATGATTATCAATATCAATAATAGATTTAGATCTTGCAAATGAATATTTAATTGCTAAAGATGCTAAATTAATTGCTGAAACATATTTTAAATTTCTTGTTCCATAAATAGCATCAACTGCAATTGCACATTTAAATAATTTTTCACCTATAAGTTGATTTTCATTTTCATTATAAGTAATAGTTTTTATAAATTCAACAATAACAGGATTACGATTAGAAAGCCAATATAATGGTGTAAATAATAATAAATTATCTAAACTAAATCTTTCTTGGTTATCAATTAAACTTATTAAATCATTATAAAGGTTTTTTCTTTCTTTTTGAGCTATTTCTTTAATATATTTAATACAAATTTGTTGATTATTAAGATTAAAATTAATTATTTCTTTTAATTGATTATTTTCAACTATTAATTGATTATTTTTAGTTTCTAATTCTTTAACCAAATTAATATAAAATAATCTTTGTTGTTCAGATTCTTTTAATTGATTAGTAATTTTTTCTAAATATCCTTTAAATTACTATAGTTATCATTCATTAAATTTAAAAATTTTAAATTTTTTTGTAATTTATCAATAAAATTATCATTTCTGATAATTTGATTATAATGTTTTTTACATATAATAAATTTATCTAAAGATTTAAGATCATCTTCTAATTCTGGATAATATTTAATTAATAAATCTACTTTTTGAATAACTTTTGATCCTGTTGCACCTCGTATTTTTTGCTTTTCCTTGGTTTCACATTCAATTAATTCAAGATCTGTATTATGATATTTTTTTACTAATTTTTTAAATAAATATTTTATATCTTCTGTTTCTGATAAACTATCATCTTTTTCTGCTGCTGATAAAATATTACTATTTTCTTCTGTTTTTGATAAAATATCAATATTTTTTTCCATTATTAAAAATTTTAAAATAATTTAAAATTATTTAAAATTATATTAATTAAACAAACTAATATTATGACAAAATTTACTAAAAACTAGTAAATTTAGCAAATTTTAAAAAATGGGTATCAAATAAAAGATTTTTATTTAAAAAAAAAATAAAAAAAGAAAAGATTTAAAATAGAATTAAATTTAATAACCTTCAAAGATATTATAAGGATTTAATAATAGGCAATTGTGTTCAAAGTTAAACTTATTGTCTAGTTTGTATTGGTCAGATATAACAAAGGCCTGCTCTATACAAAGATTATTAGACTTTAGAACTTAAAAATATCCTTAAATATAATCAGAGGAAAAAAAATAAATTTACTAAAAACTATTAAGCTTTAGCAAATTTCAAAGACACAAGTATTAAGTAGAAGGTCTTTTATTTAAAGGGAATAAAAAGAAAGATAGAAAATAAAATAATTAAAACAGGATTTAAATTCAATAGCCTCCTAGAAACTATAAGGCGATTAGCAATAGGCAATTATGTTTAGGATTAAACCTATTGGCCAGTTTGTATAAGTCAGGTATAGCAAATGCTTGCCTTTTACAAGGATTATTAAACTTTAGAACTTAGAAATATCTGTAGATATAACCAGAGGAAAGAAAGCACTAATAATCAGACTGTCAATAGCTATATATGGCCTTTAAATCCTAATAATATAAAGCTAGTATTTGCCAAAATACTATTTACGAAGACAGCCTTCACCTTATATTATTTACAAGAAAAGAATAAAAATTATTAAAAGAAAAGATAAGATATATAAAAGAGAAAGATAAAGAATAATTTTTATTGATAATATCAAAAGAAGATAAATAAAATATAATTTTATTAAAGGAATTTTAGGTAGAGACAACTTTGCTTTTTAGAAGAGCAAAAAACTACTTTTTTTATAACTTTTTAGACTAATATTTGATTGGTTTTAAGACTATCATGTATTATAGAATATTTTTAGACACTTCAAAATGTTTGGAAGACCTTGGCAATATAGAAAATTCAAGTAGAATCTTCTAAAACTCCAATAAACAATGCCAAGTTAATGCCAAGCCAAACCATGTTTATCAATACTTGGCACTCTATTACTCAATAAGTTACATATTAATTAAAAATAAAACACATATCATTGTGTAGCCCTCATGTTGATCTACAAGGCTTATTATGATAGTTTAACATTTAGAAGCTTTTTAAATATGTTATCATAGAGCTAACTAAAAATAACTATAATAAAATATAAGAAAAATATAGAAAAGATATGCTAAAGATATAATATATGCTAAATGATAATAAGAAATAATAACTAACTATAATATATAGATAAAATATGATAATAAGAATCAAGAAAAATAAGAAAAAAAAGAAATTTTATTACAATATCAAGAAAAAGTTAAAGAAAATATAATTATACAATTTATAAATAAATACATATATATATAGACATATGTATATATGTATGTACATATAATTGATATCACTTTCTAAAATATGTTTTAATACTTTAAATTTCGTAATACTTATTGTTTGATATATACTTTAATATTTTATTCTTACGTATGACCTCACCTTTGAAAATTAAAAAAAAAAATTCTATTTTTACGGATTAAAATTTATACAATACTTGATCACTAAAAATTACATATCAAAACAAAATCTTTATTGCAAATCTAAAGTTAAAAAATAAATATCACTTTAGAGGTTTTATCAAATCGAAGTCTATACCAACAAATATATATATTGTTTTGTGTTCCTCAGGAGCAACACGAAAGTTGTTATAAAAAAATCGTGACGCAA